CGACAGTTGCGCCCCCTGATCCCCCCGGCTCATGTACAGCCTTCCGTCCCCGCCCACGACGCACGTCTTCGGGCTCGTCCCCTCGTCCAGCTTGTCCTCCTCCATCGCCCACCACTGCCCCGCCGCCACGTCAAGCGCCTCCGCCGTCCTCGAGAACCGCCCCTGCGCCTCCGTCGAATACCCCCCGATGACGTAGAACCGCCCGTCGAGGCAGACCCCGCGGCACTCATCCCGCTCCATCGCCATGTCCGGCAGTGGCGCCCACGTGTCGCTGGCCACGTCGTACGCCATGGCTGACCGCAGCGCGTTCTTCTCCTCGTCGTGGCCTCCGGCCACGACCACGGCCACCCGGCCACGGACCGAGGCCGTGGCGCACGCGAAGAAAGACCGGCGGGGGCCCGGCACGGGGGCCCCTCGGCGCCACGACCCAGTGGCGAAGTCGTAGACGTGGACCCCGTCGGAGGCGGCCCATGTCTTCGGGTCCCATCCCCCGACCACCACCAGCTCCCGCTCGGCAGCCGCCATCCGGCAGAAGAACGGCAGCCCGTGGGGGAGGCCGGGGACGGGCGGCAAGAGGCTCCAAGCGCCGGTGGCAGGTTCGAAGAGCGAGAGGCGGTAAGAAGGTGTGGAGCGTCCGACGCTCTTAACCGCAGACGACCCAGTGGCGGGGGCCGATTCCGCTTGGGCAAAGGCCACGACCGATCGGGTCAAGCCGGCGGCTTTCCTGATACGGTGGAAATAGGGCGAGTCAAGCTCTCGCTTCCACAGGCGGCAAACGGAACGGGCCGTAGGAAAGCCGCGGTAAGGGATGCGGACGAGGCACTCCCGCGCTATGTCATCCGGTAGTCCCGGTAGTAGCTGTCGCCTCATGATACTGTAAACCTAAGTAAGTGCAGTCTATTAAAGCGGAAAGAGCTAAAACCCCGAAGAAAGCTTCTGCTTCTCTTCTTCCATCTCTCTAGTGAAGTGAAGGGAAGGGTATTTATAGATGGGCATATGAAGCAGATAAGAAGGTTAAGAGTTACCGAAGGGTGGACAAAGAATAATTAGGATGAGGAGGAGAGGAATGAGATAAGGTAAGGAGGAAGAAGACCTGCCGTTGGCTGTAGGTTAGAGGGCAGACTTGGATTCTCGAGTGCGCTGCATCGTTGCTTTGATGGATAAGAAGGAAGGAAGGGCGAGACGGGAACGCACGTCAAAGGGACGATGCGGATGAGGAGGAATTCCGACAGGAGCGGGTCCCAAGACAGCTGTGTGGGATGCGCTCGTGCGCCACGTGGCTTGAGACGAGTGGCGTTCGGACGTGGTCGGCGGGCGGGGATCTTTTGGGCTTTGCTTTGTCGATTTTTTGGTGTTTGTGTGACGCTCCATTGGGGCCTTTATCCAATTTTTTATTACTTTTTCCTTTATGTCAATCAAGTAAGAAAATAACTTCGTACAGTAAATGAATGATTATGATGGAAAGATGCCAATGAATGAATGGCTATAAAAAATATTTGGATGATTTGCATTTTTGCCCTTTTTTGTTTTTCGAGTTCATCGTTTTTAATCCGAAAGTAGGGAGTGAATATCGTATAGTCAGTGAAGGAAAGTTTTATATTTGATATACATTTTACATAAATATATATATATATATAATAATTATGTGGACAACTTTATACTATATAAGGTTATGATTTTGATCAAGATAATTTTGATTGTAATAATCAAAATTAAAGAGATGTTTTTTTTATGGACTAATTATATATTATTCCTTATAATTAGTTAATTTTAATATCTCTATACTTTAAAATTTTATATTGATATGTGTATAATTAAGAAAGTGAAACCTGTAAGTTCATTTATCCTAACGATATCAGTTTTACGAAACACAAAAATAAATGATAAAAATATAATTTTAAGTTTTTAGTTAATTGTGACGGACGACATCAGTGATAATGAATTACAACGCACATAGCTGCCAAGCAACCCTTTCGTCGTTTTAAATCTACGTTGACATCGACATAATTGTCGAGCAATGAAAGGACTGCCAATGCAGATGTCGAGTAGCGTCACTTGCCATTTGCATCAACGATTCTTTCGTTACTTGATAACTGTAATAATATTAATGCAGATGTAGATGTAAATGTAGAACAATGCTGCTTACATCGATGTTATTCGTTAGCACCGATATTATCTGTCACCGCCGACATCATCCACCACCGCTAACTAGAATATTAAAATTATTTTTTTACTCTTTATTTTTATATTTTTATTGGTAAAATCGATTATGTTATGATAAATGAGCTTAGATGCATCACTTTCATAATTATATAGATGTTAATTTAACTTTTTAAAATATACGGAACAAGATGCATAATATAGTTTACTAGTAATACATAATTAGCCCTCTCTTTACTTTATGACTCAATATATAACTTTGATTATATATTTGGATGATTTGGATTTATACTTTTTTTTTTTTCGAGTTTAACGTTTTTAATCCAGGGAGGAGTGAATATTATATAGTTAGTGAAACTAAGTTTTATATTTGATATACATTATATATATATATATATATATATATATATATATATATATATATATATATAAACCAAGCTTATGATTTTGATAAATTTGATTGTAATCATCAAAATTAAAGAGACAACTTAATAATTCATGCCTCTTTACTTTACTCTGTGGATCAATTTATAACTATGATTATGATAACTTAACTTAGAATATTATTTGATCAATTACTTTACTCTGTGGATCAATTAAACTTCTAACAATCAGAATAATTCATATTAAGATATTCTATTTTTCAATATACTATTGTATATATAATTAATATATCATATTTGAATCTATATAAGACATTATTTGATACAATGAAATGAATTTTTTAATAAATTAAAAATTACAAGTGAAAAAAATCCATGATTTCATAATCAATCATCAAATTACGCTCTTAAAGGAAAATATTGATCGCTTAGATCAATCCGTCGAGAAATAGTTGACCGCATTATAGTTTGGAAGCCCATCAAGAGGTCATCTGATCCACATAGCACACCAAAAGTAGTACTCAATGCGTTCGATGCTCGACCACGTAGCACTTTTAAATGCTCACGTAGTCATTCTACACGCTTCAAAAATGCTCATGACATCGATATGGATAATTAGCAACTTTGTATGCCAAAAGCACATTTTATATGCATTTAAATTTATTATAATTACGAATTGATAAGCGTCAAACCATTTTTTTTTTTAATCAAATTTGGTCATTTAAATCAAAATCTTATGCAAGTGTCAAAAGATAGCTTTTATATTGACAAAAAAAAATAAATAAATTACATATTCATGTAAGATATATGGTTTAAGAGTAATACGATTAACTTTTGATCGTCAATTTCACATGATTATTATATCATCTTTCGGGAAAAAAAAGTTTGAGAATCAAACTCAGAATTCATGAATTTATGGAGGGAGAAATTTTCTTGAGTTAAACAAAAAGGTTTGTACTTTGTTTTGATTCATTTTTGAAATATTATCGAACAGATTCAAAATCTCATCCAATATTTTTTTTATATTAAAAAAATTAATACTTAGGAGATCAAATTATAAAAGATTGAGAATTTAAAATCTAGTTCGATAAACTTTTATACATAGAATATTAATTGATCGTGATGAATTTATTATATCCAATTATCAAATATTGAGAGTTAAAAATTTTATTCGATAAAATTTTTGTATCTCAAATATTAATTTAATAATGATGTATCAAATTTACTTATCAGAAATTAATATTTCAAAACCTTGTGAGATAAATTTACGATTCAAAATCTCATCAAAAAATTTTCCTCTAAAAATAAAATATGAGTAGGAGATGCCCACATCCATTTTGGCTTAATATATTCACTTAGTCCTCATCTATGATTTAATGAATTATTGGAAAAAAAAAGTTCCAATTTATGCCATCTTTTGGAATTTGCAATACGTAATGCTATAATGCAAATAACACGACGCCATGACATTATTGCGAAGCAATTATGTCCAAGGAAAATAAAGCCAATATTTTTTTGGCAACTCGAGGAAATTGGAGATATAGAATGTTTCTTTTCATTGATTATGAATTTGATTTACTAAAAATTCATGGTTTGAATTAAGAAAATTACATCTCCACATTCTTTAATATGCACTCACCATCATTTTTATCTGTCCTTTGCGGAAAAAGGAAAGCCAATTTGTGTATTTAAATCTATCTATTATTTTAATACAAATTAAAAATAACTAATTCAATAGATTTAAGTATATTCAGTAGATACTCAAACCACGTATCCATATGATCCACGATCCAATGCAACACAAAATTATGTTTCTGGATTTCTCACACTTAAAGATATAAATATATAGTAGTTTAATCCACTTTATTCATAAAAATATAATGATATTCTTACCCCCTTTTTAATACTTATTAAACATATTCGAACATAATTTTGATATTGATGATATACTATTATTACATGTGATACTAAAAATATATTTACTCCGATTATAACAAAACTAGCAAGGATATGACATATAGTAACCCAATCAATAATGAGTGAAGTGGTCGTACTCAATCAATATCTAAGTTGCACATTAGTTTAAAATATGATAATTAAAATTAATTATTAATTATTAAAATTATTTTAATTTTTGTTAAATAATGATTTGAGTATAAGAAGGATCAATCGGGACTCAAGTTTGTCTCAACCATTAAAGCGAATGTATTGAGTTCTGAGTTGAATCAAGTTGATTTAAATATATTAGCATTATATATATATATTATATTTTCTAAAACCCATCATAAGTTAACTTGTAAAAAAAAAAAAAAAAAAGGTGGCTATCATTTTAATTGGCAAACAATTAAGTTCATTCAGTTTATATGTCTTATTTTTGTTATAAATGAAATTTATTTTATTTATCTTTAGATCTTATTAATAATGGTACTTCTTGGAAGCGTGGTTGTGTATCGCGTGACCGTACGGTGAACCTAACCCAATCTAGTTCAGGCAACGCGGCGCCTCAGCACCACCGGGTGTCCTCCAAGTCTCTTCCCGCCGCCGCCCGGCAATTTCTTCTTCCCCGCTTTGCAACCCTAACTCAAGCGATCAGGTATACATCCACCATTGGAGTGTAATTTATTTACGGGCTTTTGGATCCTCTCGTCTGTTCCTCTTTCTCCCTCCCCTTCTCCGCATTCGGAACCCTAACCCCCAAATCGCCGTGGTAACGTGGAAATCCCTCGATTGAAAACATCCATGTCGGCTTCAGCTATTCGTAGTTGCGATTTTGATCGAATTTCTTTACAAAGACCCGATCTTGATGAGATTGGGTTGTAAACACCTCCTGTGTCGGTATCTCTTTTGTGTGCGTGCGTGTGAACATATTCGTTTTTGTTGATTCGTATGATTAGTTGCATAATTTTGCAAAAACACATTCTTATGTGACATCTGGAACGAGGTTTCAGATCGATGGAGCACTCTTCGAGTGAAGATGACGAGTTGGTCGAGGATTATCTGGATTTTGAAGATGATATCAAGGCATCAGATGTTAATCATCAACATGAAGAAGCTGCAACATCCGTTGCCAGCAGTAACATGGCGTTAGTCGAGCAGGCCATTGAAAATGAGCTTCTTGCTGCTGATGATGGTGATGCGAAGAATCAGGTGCCATGTCTTGGAATGGAATTCGAGTCTGATACAGTGGCAAGGGCATTCTACAATGCCTATGCATTGCGACTTGGCTTTGGCATTCGAGTGGCACGGTCACGCAGTGAGAGGCGGAAGGGGGTTGAAGTGATGGTCATGAAGAGGTTTGTCTGCTTAAAAGAGGGCCACCACAAAAAGAAGGTTACTGAAAATGGCACCAAGAAGAAGCGCAAGCGTCTTTCCATCAGGGATGGTTGCCCTGCCATGATGGAGGTTGTTCGGAGGGGGCCTGAGAAATGGGTTGTCACTAAGTTGGTCTTGGAGCACACACATATGGTGGTCAGCCCAGAGAGGGTGCGTGAGATCCAGCTCAGTCGCCTCTCTGGAAAAGATAGGGAGCATCAGGACTTCCTGAAAGAGATGCGGCGAAGGCTATTTGGAGAAGGAGATGCTCAAGTCCTTCTTGAGTATTTCAAGAGGATGCAGGCAGAGAATGCTGGCTTCTTTTATGCAATGCAGGTTGATAACAGGAATTGTTTGACAAATGTGTTATGGGCAGATGCTAAAGCCAGATTGTCTTATAATTATTTTGGAGATGCAGTTACTTTTGACACGACATATAGGCAGAATAAAAACATGATACCATTTGCTGCATTTACCGGTCTAAATCATCATGGACAGACAGTTGTTTTTGGATGTGCCTTGATGATAGATAAGACAGAATCCTCATTTGCTTGGTTGTTTGAGACATGGCTGACAGCAATGTTTGGACGCCACCCACTGTCTATTACTACTGATCAAGGCAAGGCTCTGGCATCAGCAGTTGCAAAGGTCTTTCCTGACACATGTCACCGTTTATGTAGATGGCGTGTCCTATCTAGATGCAAGAAGAAGTTGTCTGATGTGTACCGTAGGCACCCCACCCTTCATGATGAATTAAAGACATGCATCAATGATTCTACCACGGTTGAAACCTTTGAAGTTTATTGGAGGAAAATTCTTGATAAATATAATCTTAGGGAGAACTCATGGTTGCAAATTCTATATAATATCCGCCACAGATGGGTACCAGCATACCTAAGAGACTCCTTTTTTGCAGAATTGTCTACGACTTCGAGAGTAGAAAGTATGAACAGGTTTTACAGAAGAAACTTCGTTAGAGAGAGCTCCTTGCAAATGTTTATTGCAAAATTTGATCAAGAAATGGACAACGGTTATGAAAAAGAAGCCCAAGAAGACTGTGCTAGTCTCAGTACCCAACCAATTCTGAAAACTGACTCACCTATGGAGAAACAAGCGGCCAGTATTTACACTAGGACGGTATTTGAGAAGTTCCAAGCAGAACTCGTCGAAGCACTGAACCACTATGCGGTGAAAATTCAAGATGGATCTATGATCAAGTACTCTGTTGGACGGGATGGGGATGCTCATAATCAATATATTGTTTTCTTCGATGAGCCCGAGAAGAAAGCATATTGTAGTTGCTGCAAGTATGAGGTTTCAGGAATACTTTGCAGACATGTGCTTGGTCTCTTCTTGGCATGTGGAACCATTCTTCTTCCAGAACATTGCATTTTAAAAAGATGGACTAAGAAGGCAAAGAGTGACTCGGTAGGACATGAAATTGAGCTTGAAGTTCAAAATTATTCACAGGATTCACCAATCTTGTGGTACAATGATCTCTTGCATTATACCATGAAGTTTGCAGAGAGAGGAGCAACATCTTCAGAGGCATACAAGATTGCAAAGGATATGCTGCAAAAAGTCTTTGCTCAAATCATTAGTTATGAGGAAAATGTGGCTGAAGGGATGCCTCATCACGTGGGAAAGGTCTGATATAATTGCTAATATGGGAGGAGTTGATGCCATTACTACAATGGTGCATTCAAAAGCAGATGGATTTGGCCTTTTCTGTGGCATTTTTTAAGAGGTTATTGTAGTCATTTCTTAGTTGGTTGAGAAGTGCTTTCTCTTTTTCCAAGCAGGTTACTTGAATTCAAAGGCGATGAAAGTGTCCTCCGCATAGTGACATATGACAAGTATAGGTCTACACTTTTTTGTCTTAACTTGCTGTTTATGATTTATCAATGGCCATGTTGATGTAATACTTTTATTATGAAAGTTGCAGCTCCCCCCCCTCATGGCCAAGGTTTCATGGCTAGCATCTTTATGTAAATTTGAGTAGTGATGGTTAGCTTGTTCTTTCTTTTAGTTATTTAAGGTTCCAATATTTTCTTTTTATACTCGTGTGGCCGAAAGCACATTTAACTTGTTGATTATGGTATTAAATGTGTTCTTCTGCGCTTTCTTTTTATTTGATTCAGATTGGTGGACTCATAGTAAAGTGTCCATGAACGGCCAGTGACCAGTTATAAATTGTGGATGTAGATTCCCAAAATAGGGTGAAACATGTCCATGCATAGCATATGATTACTGGGATTGCCTCTTTTTAATGATAAATGCCTCTTTTATATTAAGATATTAACAGGTGTTTTTAGTCATGATGCATATGTTTTTAGTCATGACACATGATAGCTATTTGACATGTACATGTATGACAGTTTTTAACGGTGGCTGATAACAAATATCTTGCAGCAGTAGTCCCTTCAATTTTGTCATTCTAGTCATCTGCTCCTTGGTAGTACCTTAGTGCACCATGCTAGCCCCGTTGTATTGCCAAAGTAGTTGTGATCTGACTGCTGCCTGGGATTGGAGCAAAATCATATTAATTAATTTATGTGGTAGCAGTTCTTTTGCTGAGGTAAAGATAAATACCATGCCTTTAGCTGCATTTATTCATCAGTTGCAGCAATAAAATGCCCTCATTTATCTTTGATCCATCCTTGAGTCTCAGGATGGGAAAGATAGCAGTAACTGTGGGATCAGCAACTCCCAACATGAGGAGCAGATCTTGGATGCTAGTTGCTCTCCAACAAAATAATTAGACTTGGATGATGTGAGTGTAAACCCAAGTGCAGCTATAGTCTTGCTCGCTGGTATTGAAACCTGTTATTTGTTCATGAATGCATTCACTAATATTCTGTCTTTTAATCTACTTTAACTTGAGATTTGCTTTGGTAAGGAGGGATTAACATGCTCATACCGAATGGTTGAGTTGTTCTATAATTGTGGCAGATTCAATTTTTTGTTTATCAGAAATGCCAATTGGATGGGCATACATAGAACAGAAACTAAGCATACCCATATGCTATCGTTTAAAGTTTATTTGTTTTCCTTTCTGAATAATGCTGAAACTGAAATTTTGATTTATTATTGTGTCACAGCTGCATAATTTGTGAATTTTAATTTATTCCTCTTTGCAGGTTGGCTGTGGACCTTTCTTAATCCATTTATTTTATTGGTAGATATTTTTGTTCCAATAAATCAACCAGCTTGAAATAGCATAAACTACTATGTGAGAAAAGCGGGAATGTGATCTCATTCCTCAGAATAACTCGATTGCTTTAGCAGGCTTTCTCACTGACTAGTTTTTCAGGTAGTGCAGAAAAACAATCTTCTTTGCACAAGATGATAACCAAATGAATAGGTTAAGCAAGCTCAAGTTAAGGTTCTCACCATCTCGTGTTGTTTTTCTTATTTCCATGTGACATATTTTTCATTTCGGTTAATTGTGGGCTTTTGTGATTTCTCAACCTCTATGTTGGATTTCCTACTTATTGTCTTGACCCCTTTACCTGTGAAGCTTGCAACTATTGCATGCATGAACCAGTGTGGTATTGGCACTGTACTTTAAACCATGCAAATGGAATTCTGGCATAACATGTAGCCCATGCCAACCCACACTGGTGTGGGATGTTCCGTGCCAGCATGCACATTTGTGCTTTGATGTGAAAAATACTAGATTGCAAGAATGCTTTTTTTTTTTTAATTAAGTGGGGAACTGGAATGCCAAACATTGAAGGTGTTACTTTTGATGCCAAAATAATACATTTTGATGTGTTGATTCATTTTGTAGGTCAATACCCCCCAGTCATCATGTAAACCTTCGTGTTTTTGCGGTGCCAAGAAATTTGATCAGTCTATTATGTTTCTTATTATTGACATCTAATAACCTGATTTGAGGTTCCACAAGTGCCTAATCTTACATCCATTTGCTCATGGTACTGTAGGTCACTGGACCTTATTTTTAAGCTGCAGAGTATTCCACAGCTATTTTCGTGCCGTCTGTTTGTGTGTATCAGCTGAGCTTCTCATTGGGCAGGTAGACAAACCGGAGATTGTCAAAGTTTTAATGTAAGTTGTTATGCCAGATAACGTTTGAATCAAATATACTTGAAATTCTAGTACTTCTTTGGGTTGCTAGATGCTTAACTAATCAATTTGAACTGAATTATCAATATGCATGTTCTTTGTCTCACACAGCTGAAAGCTGTTTGTTACTTGATGTTGGTTCATGAAACTTTACTGATGATAATGGTCAACAACATTTTGAAACAAAGGCGAAAAATCAAATATACTTGAAATTCTAGTACTTCTTTGGGTTGCTAGATGCTTAACTAATCAATTTGAACTGAGTAATCAATATGCCTGTTCTTTGTCTCACACAACTGAAAGCTATTTGTTACTTGATGTTGGTTCATGAAACTTTACTGCTGACAATGGTCAACAACATTTTGAAACAAAGGCCAAGAATCTGATTGAATTAACTTATGCAGTGGAATTTGCAATTTTCTGGCAAAGATTAACTTCTTTTATGCACTAAATTTTCTGAGGACTAAATCATGTTTTTCCGCAGAGAATTGTCGGCTTTTTTAACAATAACCTTTTATCTGAAGCTATATAATTTGTGCTGATCTGCAGTACCAACTAAATCATGTTTTTACCAGTATAATCTGACCACAGTACAGTTTCAGTGAACTAATGTTGCTTATTCTTTCTCTAATCAGGGTTACCATACCGTAGCTTGATGAAGGGGTTAATGTGACGTCTCTGCCTCAGGATTATTATGGTATTCATGGATATCATTGGAGATGAGCAGCTACACTTCCAAGGAAAAGATACAGTTCTTGGAAATGATATTGTGGCACTTATCATTAGTCATATCAATTATCGTGGGCAACAAACATTTCATGAGACGCCTGATGTGGGATCACTTGAGGTCAGAACAGAGAAGCTGTCTACCCTTCTCCTCCTTCTCATCGGGTGATTTCTCTTCTTCTCTTCATCCATTTTATCTGTTGTTCCATCATGTACCTGTTCCTGCAAATACCCAATTCTCCCTACAACAGCTGTGAACACTCGGCTAGAGCTGGGGGTAGTTTGGTCATTTAAGCAATGGAGTTTTTCTCCCTGTGGGGTCCACAGGGTGGACCACAAACACGATTTTCTTAAGACGACCATTCAGGGAGGGCCACGTTGTCGAAGGACGGATTTGGTATCGTGGCTGAGGCCAGATTCGCCGTTGCGTGTTCTCCTGTGGACTCGCGATTTGTTGGATTTTTAGGTGTAGTCATAGAGAAAGCATTTGTAGTCACAGAGCTCACATCTCTTTTTGTCCTATAAGAATCGAGAAACAAGCCATTGGCGTCCAGCCCGAAAAGTGCTGCAGACCGAGTTGCCTGGCCCTCTTGTCTCCTTGGCGACTCTTCGCCGCCTGAGACGCCCGCCGATGGGATCCGACGCGCCGGCCCTGCCCCCGCCGACGACGTACTTTTGGGGTGACGTCCCCGGGGAGGATGAGTACTACGCGTCGCAGGGCGTCCGCAACCGGCAGTCCTATTTCCAGAGCCCCCACGGCCGCCTCTTCACCCAGTCCTTCCACCCCGTCGACCCCGCCACCGGCGCCGACCTTCCGGTTAAGGCCCTCGTTTTCATGACCCACGGCTACGGCACCGACTCCGGCTGGCTCTTCCAGAAGATCGCCATCGCCTACGCCACCTGGGGTTATGCCGTCCATTGCGCCGACCTCCTCGGCCACGGCCGCTCCCAAGGCATCCGCTACTACCTCGGCGACATGGAGTCCGTAGCCGCCGCCTCCCTGTCCTTCTTCCTCTCCGTGCGCCGGGAGTCGCCCGGCATGCCGGCCTTCCTCTTCGGCGAGTCCATGGGCGGCGCCGCCACCCTACTCATGTACCTCCGCTCCGAACCGGGCACCTGGACGGGGCTCATCTTCTCCGCCCCTCTCTTCGTTATCCCGGACGACATGAAGCCTTCCCGCCTCCGGCTCTTCCTCTACGGCCTCCTCTTCGGGCTGGCCGACACCTGGGCGGCGATGCCCGACAACAAGATGGTGGGAAAGGCCATTAAGGATCCGGACCGCCTCCGGGTCATCGCATCCAACCCGCGGCGGTACACGGGGCAACCCCGGGTGGGCACCATGAGGGAGCTCGCCCGCCTCTGCGACTTCTTCCAGACCAAGTTCGGCGAGGTGACCGCGCCCTTCCTGACGGTGCACGGCACCGACGACGGGGTCACGTCGCCGGAGGGATCGAAGACGTTCTACCAACGGGCGGCGAGCGCCGACAAGACGCTGATCCTGTACGAGGGGATGTACCACTCCCTGATCCAGGGCGAGCCGGAGGAGAACAGCAGCAGGGTCCTGGCGGACATGAGGGCGTGGATCGACGAGCGCGTCGAGAGGTATGGCGGAGGCGAGGCGTTCAACGGGCATTCCCACGGCAAGGTGGAGGAGGCTGTGAACTGAACCGGAGTAATCGCGGTCGTCGCCACCGCAGTCCGTCAAAGGCTCGGTATAGATTCGGTCTGTCCTTTTTCTTTCAGTCAACGTGTTTGGCGTCGAAAGATATTTTATTGGATTCGATATTGAATTGTTGGATTGCTTTTTGGTCAACGCTTATAGGAATGTAAGTTCATTGTTCTTAATTAATAAGAACAATGAACTCAAAGAATAGGAGAATAGAAAATTCAGCATATATATTTGATGTCGAATAGTCTCGTATGAAAAATAAATAAGATTAAAATTGACTAATAAAGATATGATAGCATCGTATCAAAAATAAATAAGATTAAAATTAATTAATAAATATAAAAAATAAATAAGATTAAAATTGATTAATAAAGATCCGATTAGTGTCTTATTATTAATCTTAGAAAAAGATTATCCATGATAGAGTTAGAGTATTTGTCACGATAAATATTGAACTTTAATTGATCTTATTATTTAATTTTTTAAATAATATTTTTATATGATATTATATGTCAAATTATGATTAAAGATGAATATTTTGACAAGAATAAAAAAATTAAAGTTTCTCTCTCTT